GCTGCTGCTGCTATTGCAAGTCAAGCGCCGCAAATGGGCTCGATTGCACCCCAACAACAGCTGTCAGCGCCACCGACACCAACTCAGCAAACTGGTCAGCTGGTGCCTGGCGGAGGACAGCTGCTATCCCCACCGATGAACGGCGGTGCTGCCGGGGTCAGGGCCCCACCACCGTACACTCAGGTTGTCTCGGCGGCCAACGGTCAGCTCACACCATCGACCTATCATTCGAGACCAACGTCATTACCGTTGCAACAACAAACACAGCATCAGTTTCTCAATACTAATGGTAACGGCAATTACAATGGTAATTTTAATGCTAGTGCTAGCAACGGTAGCGTGGTGATGCCATACGTTCAGCCGTCGGGCAAAATCGACACAGAACAGTCACAGAATTGTTCAGGTACTTGAATTCGTTCATTCACGTCATTATTCGATTATAATTGAAATATTGTCTCGGAATTCTGAGGTGTGTTTTTGAGCTCTTCGCTGATAAAATTCCTTTGTATGGATGATTGCTGTGAAGAAAGCTATAACGCAGTGAATGTAATCATCTTTCGTTGATTGACACTAAGCAAACGCTCGTAACTATGTTACCCATCTCGAGGTAAGAATAGGTTTTCATTTGAGCAAGTTGCTGGGTGATAGATATGAATGTGACTCAAAAAAAGTTCGATTCGAATACCAACTGAAAGCTGAGTATTTGAAGAGGATTAGATTGAAATATGAGTATCGCAAACAGTATGAATTTATGAAGGTCCTCCAACGCCGTCAAGCGGCCGGCCTGGATCATCTGCGTCAATGGATTGTACGCAAGTGCGACCAAAACAAATACGGAAACGACGACGAGACGGCGACAGTGGGAATGGAAACAACAGTGTTGATGAAGACCAATTTGTGCGCACTCCGATGATGGGTGATGTGTATGCGAGTCAGTTGACAACACAGCTGGAACGAGACGTGTACGATATTGTGGATCATCTATTGACACAAGTGGTGATCATGGTTGATGGTTAGTGATGTTTCATTTGTAGTGACTTTCATTTATTAAACATTCGTATGTCACAGAAAAACATATGGGTTAAAGGATTTTCGTCATTGCTTTAGGCATGGTTTTCCATCGGTTTGTTGTCATATTCGAAATTGTGCTATGCTCCGTACTTGTGTCAGCTTGTTTTATGAAAAGAAGGCAAGAGAATATAGTTTGAAGTTTGAAGAAATTGAAGTGGATATTTTTGTGCAATATTCATATTAAAAGTTGTGAAATTTCTGCTTTTTTTTCCATTTCTGCGTAGAAGTTTTGCCTCATCGTGGAGAGATTGTTGACATAAGATGATGAAATTGAACTGATTTGAGTTTCAGGTGCAGAAGTGGCGCGTAAAAGTGGTATGCTGAAACGATTGTTAGAGTCACATCCCGCGAAACCGTACAATAATCATCGAAATGCGTACTCAGCAGGATATGAAGGGCATGGTTGGTTTCATTGGATATTTTTCTTCGAAGGGAACTTTTGGGATTTTGATTTCAACTCTTCGGATTTCATTGAAAAATAGCGTATTCATTGTATTTTTG